TGCCGTTGCACCCATCGCTCAAAGAGCACTTCGTCATCTGTAGCGCTTTCGCCAGGGGTTAGCACTAAAGGTATTGTCCGCGTTGCGATTACACGAAAGTCACCTCGTTGAACACTCAGACGAGTGCGATAAGCTCGAGCGGAAATTCTTGTGGAACCAAGAAACGAGCTCGAAGAGCTCTCCGTTTGGCAAGCTCGTCTTCCGTAATTGTCGGGGGTATTATGATGTGGGGGTGTAACGATCGATTTACCACGTCCTTCGCTTCCACAGCGGGATCCGCCGTGCGGAAGACATATTTCACACGAGGGTCAATGACCGGCCGTGGATGGGCGCGCATTAGAGCTGCCTTACGAACAGCTTCCAGCTGCCGCTGCTGTGCCTCATCGAGGTCACTGTTGATTACACCACATCTTTCAGATGGTGAGAAGTCAGGAAACGGACATGAGGTCCGCAAGGAACGAGCAGGGCTCGTCTCGCGCCGCTGGTGCGGCTCGCCGTCTTCGTCATTTCATCCTGGAAAAAAGTGTCAACTCGTATTCGAACACCTCCACATCCCCAACGAGGTCACTCGTCACCATTAGCGTGCGCGGAGAGCAAAGCCCGTGCTCATCGAGCGCAGGATTTACATCCCTCGATGTCGCGGAGACACGTTCGACATGACACCGTGTGTGGGAGATGAAGCTGGGCTCTGCCCGTGACCGCTGTCGGAACCAGCGAGACTTGAAAACTTCAGTGTTATTGATACCGGGCTGATTGAGCACGGAATTCGTTACGTTCCAACGCAGTGTCTAACGAACACGCAAGCCTCGTTGAGGCAATAATAATCGATTGAAACTGTAAATGTTCTCAATCTAAATGGGGGAGAGTGCAACGGGGTTACACATACCCTAGTAACAGGGGTGTGTGTCACACGAGATGTGCATGGTGTGACCACACCCAAACAAGAATACGGTACGGGGTTGGATAGCCAGTAGTTATATATGTATTTAGATTTTCCTGTACATATTTAGGAAAATCTATGCATTTAAAATTAGGCGGCTTTGCCGCACATAAAAATAAATAAAGTCAGTTTTTAATTCAAACCGAAAAGTTAATTAGCACTGGGTTCAGGCTGTAATTACTTTTGGAGTAAGCGGATTGCGATCCGCTAAACTCGTACTTGTTCTGAGTATCGAACGAGAGGTCGGTGACCTGACTTATGCTTCCTCAAAGCGCAAAGCTACGGCAGCCCCGCTGCACACTTCCAAACTAAACTTCGGTAGAAAAGACATAACATTAATGGCTAAAGACAAGGAGATTGTTGATGTTCATTCCGTATAGTCAGACTTATCGGGTGCACTTCAAGCTCTATTTTTCGCCAACAATAATGAGATGAGGCGGTATATGTCCACGGGTTGTAAAAATTTACTGGCGCGATGGCGGCATGCCATCTTTTGGGGAAGACAACTGAAGTTAATTCTTTGGGCGGTCTTTAATCAGATTTGGCTTGCAAGACCTCTTGCATCCATTCAGTTACTTCGAGGATGCGGATAATGCGGCAAAAAACGCGTATTATAATATTTGTGCCGCGAGACCTTGTTGAGGTACCGGATGTGGTAGCTATCATAGCAATGGACCTCGGTCATACTAAAAAGACAGTTAGATTATGTGCTTTGAGGTCACGTTTTGTGGTACTCGCAGATGTTACATTTAAGTAAGTACGCAAATTATTTGCGTCATTTGATCTCTAATCTGATATGTAGGAATCGTCGGACTCCCAAGCCGGATAGCTTGAGCGACCCTTGGCGGAAAAATGTAGTTTCAGTAGATGCTTAGCGCATACTGGAAAATATCGATGTTTTGGTGCATATCTTGGAGATCGAAGGCTATAAATTTAATCTGCCTGCTTGCAAGAAAGCTGGTGATCACTTCCAGGATTGTTAGATGATAAATTCAACGTGATAGGATTTATGAGGCGGGTAAATGACTCGAAAGGCTTAGTAGCGTCATGCAATTGCGTTCCACGTCCAAAAGAGAACGAAGTTCAACGCGCGAAGGCATGAGAAGCCGTTTACAGATACAAAATTAATGCGTTTCGCTGCGTGGTGTCTGTTCAAAATATAGTTTTTTGCAAGGTTTTGACAGCGTGAATATCGATCTCTTTCTGGACTTGCATTCGAGATGTGATCTCAAGCCAAACGTAGCGTGGTTATAATTCCATTAGCCGTGAATGAATACGGCAGTTATATGTGTCGTGTGTCGCGTGTTGTGTACTTCCTTCTCGTGGAGCCTTGACTAGAAAGCTGACACAATTATGACGTGGGATGAAGCCATAATACAGGACATGATACTATTTGAATAATCTAGCAACGCTTGGTCAGGGCTCGAGAGGCAGAAGTGATAGAGCGGCACGGTCTTAGGGTTAGACAGAGCTGTCTTATGTCGTGGTTTTTGTAGTGTATCTCTGAGAAAAAATGACAATTGTAGTTTCAATCAAGTGTATCTAGTGAGTGGGTAAATTAAAGCGGAGATCTGAGACGCCCCACGCCAGAACCGGTGGAGTGTAAGATTGACTGTGTAGCATTTTGCTGTGCCAGGACAGATGGAAACTAGTGATTATATGTCAGAATTAGCAAAACAAGCATTGAGACTAACTACGATGTATTATCATTTATTACAACATATTGGTTGTAATGAGTCAGCATGAATTGCGACACATTTTCCGTGCTGAGTACAAACGGTCTATGGGTTCGTGAACAGAATGATTGATCACTCATGAATAAAGCTATCGCGTGAGCTCAAGGGGTTGTAACTCTCCGTCGTCACAGCCGGCTTAAGCTATAATGAGCTTGAAGCATATTTTAACAGGATATTTGCGTAACATTGAAGACGATAAAGTCATCAAAACGGCTTGCTCAATTCCGGTAGAGGAAATAAGCTCATTTTTGCAACCACAATCGCACAGCTAACTGCTTGGAGTGGGATGGCAAATCACAAGGACCTTCGGGGTCTTTTACCAGTGTTGAATATTCAAAGCGACGTGGTGACAACAGACCCGCCAAGCGTTTTGCCTCCAAACCGAAGAATACGTGATAAAAGCAACCTAGTTACGAATGCAAGTACGGTGGCTTTTACTAAGGTCACTGTGCAATGGTCTTCTGTGTCAAGCATAGAGCAGAATTGGTAAGAGGGGTAAATTGCTCTTACCCGGTATCGAAAAATTGAATCAGAAATGCTAACGGCAGGAGACAAATCGTGCATGCATACAATAAGCCAACTGAAGTAGCCATACCGGCACAAACGCCGATTCAGACAAGATCCACTACAGAACATAATATTTGATCGCATGTTTCAGTGCACTTGACCTAAGGGATGGGTACTTTGAGCTGTTAATTGGAATTACCGAAATTTATCTCATTGCGGTGCGTATTGCAAGCAAGATGCTCTGGTAGTGGCTTTCGTTGCTTCAAGGGTCTAACACACCAGCGACGTCCAAACGACAAGTGATGCAGCTGTTTAGGCCACATCGTGCCTCAAACCAAATCTATTTCGACGCTATTTTCATCCTAAGTCGTGTAGAGTTTTGTTTTTTGAAACGAATTTCCACATTAATCTTGCGATTATAGTTTCCAAGCGAAGTGCTTAACACATCCACATCTAAACTTTGTGAACAGCGCTCGAGTGATTGCGAACTAATTTTTCAACACAAACAAGTGTGACTTTGGTCCCAGTAAATTTCTATTTTCATTTCAGATTCATCACCTCTTGGAAGACTACACTTAATAAATAACATCGTATACTGGCTTAAGCCGCAAATCCAACGCGATCTAAAGAAATGTGGCAAATCAAGCTAAATTCTTGCACAAATATTCTGCAAGAATTTGTCCAAATGGTACTGCCCATCGCCAATCTTCAATTGGTGCCGAATTGTTGCATAATAATCGGCGGTATTTGAGTCAATTAAAGAAAGCAATTGGTTCATTTAAATATAACTCAGTCAAACCCATATCGGCTGATTTATGGCGACTGTGACGCTTCCACCTTTTTTGTACGATAGTCGTTTCTTAAGGTGGATACAACAGTCCTGACCGCAGAATTAAGTTTAGGTCTCACATGCTAAATAAAGTGGAAAACAACAACCCTGATTACGAAGATGGAAAAAATCGCAATAAAGATTTGATCATGTCAATCTAGGGGTGCATACTTGACTCAAAGTCATTTTAATTGTAATTGTAGCTCATGCGTCGCTGACACAGCGATGTCGCCAGTCAATGCTACAGAGGACGACAAAATGTTTACGCATTTGCCAAGGATACCTTAAAGGTAAGTCAAAAGCCGGGTAGGCTGAATGCGGTGCCAAATGCGTTATGGCATCAACCCGAATATGATCATCAGCAAGTCACGATGGTGATGCCACCAATTATTGCACTGATACGTATGATGTACATGTTAGACGCAACATGATTTGTGACACCGAAATCGCTAAGCGACAAAGCGTCCGTATATTCTTTGTGCATCTTTATCGAATTGGTTGGTCATACCAATGAATTAATCTGAGTGTACCTATGCCCTCTGCGACCAACTCAACACACAGCGTATGATGGAACCTCGCGTTGAGAATTTTAAATACACAAATCTTTACGAGGCATATGTACCCTTCTTGGAAATCATTCTCGAGTAAAAAAGACGCTTAGTCACACTAGTAAGTTGTATACTCGGGACCCGGCATTACTAAATAACAAAGCACCAATATACGTACAACCAAAGTGTACGAATAAGTCTAACTCTTATCGCACGAGCTGTCGCCTTTGACCAGTCTGTCGGTTTTAGTCAAGGTGGGGCTCGTTGACACAAATTCGGTTGCTGTTATCAGCCTTATAACAAATTTACGGATTTCGTGTCATTAATGATATGCGTTATGCATCGATTGAGCGACGCTATGGCTGGGAGTCAGTATGCAAACCTGCCGATTTTTAGAGGCTGATGAAGGTATAATGTGGTGGATGAAAGGCTACATAGCTTTCAGTAATATTACCTACACATGTAATGTCTGCGGTTTATGATACTAGGTTGTGAACCCGCTGCAATGCACAACGGGATTGAGCTACACGTTCAATTTCTCAAGGTATGCGAAACACATCCTGTTTGTTAGTAAGCTTATCAAAGCCATATTAAAATCCTGCTTCTATAAGCTAATCCGATGCGAAGGGCTATCTAAAAAAGCTTAAACTATCCTTTGTAGCTGAGCTACCATTGGCAGTAGGGCAGCGATACGGATCTGACGCGCTAAAACGTCCGAAGCCTATTCGTCGGATGGGACTGATCGATGACCAAGGGGTGGCATACCTCAGCGTGGAACGCTTAATGAGGAACGGAAAGTTCGCCAGGATTGTCACCAGTAACTCCAAAATGGCAAGGGATTTTGAGGTTCCACTTCGGCAAAATTGTCTTAGAAGTGGCACGAACGCCTCGCGCTTAATCTCTTCCAAAAAGTAATCAGGGTTGCTTCCTGCAGTGCCCTTTTATCCTACTACCTAGTAGAAACCGACCTTGTTGCAAGGTCATTGCTGGGTCAGTAGCTGTTAACATCAGTATAATGGAAATGAGCTGGGCCATCTACTGCAAGAATTTGTGATGATGTATTTCACCTCGACAACTACGTCGTGCCTGTAGCTTGCAAAGTCAGGAAATAAATGACGTTTTCATCCAACCTATTCTTTTAAAAAGCCAATGGTAAAGCTGTAAAACAGCTGCAACGTTTTTCTTCATCTAGCGCACGAGGTGCGATGTTCTTCGGCACTTTGACAAGCAATAACATTTGAAATTAAAGTCCAAATGATGAGTCCTTTACTCGACCGCTGATTCCTCTGAGCGCAGGTGGTGTTTCTGATGAGTCCTGACTAGAAAGACAGAAAGCTATTAGAGTGAATTTCGAGTGCTCTTTCACTTGCTGACTAAGCAAGAAACCGCATACATACGCGTTGCAGCTGTGCAGTGGAGTTCTAGGAGCTTTGAAACTAATGCACACTCCTCACTTCGCCAAAATTGATAAAAATCTTAAAAGACTAGCCGGTCCTTTACTCGCTTAGCACGGAAGAGATGGCAGTACGCCACATATTGCTAATCAAGCAGCAGCAGCAGAGAACAATCTATTAGTGGTTAAAATCTCAAACATTCTTAATTGTTTCGGGAGTCAGTTTTCTCCGATAGTCGCGGTGGTCGGCTTATACGCTCTCAGTAGCGCAATCAGATCGATTCCGTCCACGCCTTTGCTGCTCTAGAGCAGAAAGGAGCATCATTACATAAGGAGATAAAGACGATACTTCATCTACTTTAGAATGATCCACGTCCTAATAGCTCGCAAAAACGGATAGTGGTGCAACTTTATAGCCCACAAAGAGCTTAAAATTGGTTTGCATTTTATTTGGTATTGAAAGTGTGACTCGAAAACGTTTAACTAGGCTGGTGAAATATGAGATGTTACGAGGTCGCTCTTTATTTTTTTAGACTGCATTCACTGCATATATTGGTAGGTTGACAGCGTATGATAATTCCAATCCACCAACTTCATATTTTGTTGACTTCGGCATCGGGGCAGAGGTGCAAGGTACACGTTCGCATGCCAGCCACACGTAAGAAGCAAAAATGTATATCGTAAGAAATAAAAAGTATTTATTCTATAGTAGTCTTTACGTGATGAAATTTAAATACCATTGAGCTAGTAGAGTAAATACTGTGAATTTCGTTAGAGCCCTCAAGCTCTGCTCTCTGTTTAGATCACAAATTGTGCAGGTGTATTCTGAATTTCTCAAAGGCTTAACTCATCGCTTGTAGCTCGTTGTCATGAATTGGAAGCTTTTCTCAATTTATTCAAGTAGGAGATATTCCAACGCAATGACGCGTTCAACATTGATATCCACTGATCGTAAAACATGGTCTATTGCGCGAGTCGAAACGCCGCAGACGACATGAAGTCGCTGGTGGTCCAACCGGAATACGGACACATATGCGTCATGTATCAGTTGCGATTGAGCCTTTTTATGAAATCGTTGCATCCTATTACCACGCTGTAACCCTTTGACATAACAGAGAGCAATTCATTTATATCGAAGACATCCGTTCTCCCCCTCGCACTCACCCAGCCCTAACGAGATCTACCCTCTCTAAGGGAGGGATATACAATGTGTCGGTACTCCTGAGTCAGCACTACCGTATGATGGGCCGAACATTAGAAGGTGTGAAGCTCCATGTGAGCGAGGGGTCAAGGAGACGTAACCTCTCCTCATTATTCCAGGCTGAAGCTCAACTTCAGCTTAAGGTATTTTCCGTAAGAGTATGGGTAAGCAATCGCAAAATCACTAGACTTATACAGTTATTGGATTGGATCTACTACTTTTTCACAGATTATTCTGTTATTGAGAACCTTCGCAGAGAAGTAGACATTCATTTTAAATTTAGTGTTTTTTCGTGAAGGCCGCACTATGCCTACGGGCACTCAGCACATCCCCGCGAGAGCTTGCCGATCAACCATGCGTTGGAGTTCGGTCATTTGCAGGTGAGGGAAAGGACATGCAAGGCATCATGAGTCGTAGTGTTACAGATGTAACGTCTGTGAGTACCACGATGCAATCCGGTAGCTAGAAAACCACCGCCTTCTTCTTAATATTGGCTAAGGTACATCGACTCTGGTATGTTAAAGCGCCTCTAGCTTTCGTTCACGAGCCGTCTCTCGTGAAGCAAAAGTGAGCACCACATTAAATGCGAAATCCACCGCTCTTTTAAAAATATGAGTGACGACTGATAAATTCATTGCGAGCACATCTTTTTCCAAAAAACGGAATGATAAGTTCTAAACTTAGACATAGCCCGTTAAACCCCTTCCATAACGGGCGTGCAAATTTCGATCGCATGCCGCCCGTCAAATTAGCCGAACCGAGCACTAGCGATATTTTTCGCGTCAAATCTTTCCATTCGATATAACCTAGTTCACAGAAGCACCACACGTGCGAAGCTATTCTTGGGTGCGCCTTTCAGCGTGACGATTTCAAGCTAGGTGTGCTGATGCTTTGTCAGGAGCACGGCCGACCCTATGGCCATAGCAATCTCTCATGTCCTAATTGAGAATTTTTTCATCGTCGTCCTCGATGGGCTGGACGCTTATTAGAGCCTCGCTACAGGAGTCATTTGTGCTCCTGATCGAGGCTTTTTGGTGGGGGTTATTACCTGCGAATATTATATCTGGTGAAGGCATCAGGTTCCCCACAACTGCTTCCGACTCTTAGACCATCATGTAACGTTTTGCCTCGGGACCGAAGAAAGACAAAAGTGTGTCAAGCGTGGCTTGATGTCACGAGAATAGACATGCGAACAATTCGTGCTCCATCCTCGCAGGTATAACAATCTTTGTTTGACCCGACTGTCAAACTGACTCTTATTTAGACTCAGTCTTCGAGTTGAGAAGCGCTACCGCAAGCAAAGGAGTTGTCATGCACCTTATGCAAAGGAGGTTCGAGTCCACGTGAGCTTATGCATAGCTGATAGGTTGAGCCGAAATGTTTCTAGTTGACTGTTTGCTCTTATGTTAGGAGTGACATTCCTTAAGTCTAGCTTATTTTGATACTTATCATGTCTGTTTTTCTATTTATCACAAGAAAATCCTACATTGGATTAGATGTGTCCTGCAGACTCGGAATTTGAGCTAGGCTTAAAATATAAAAATGCCGTGGTCATACTAAGTTGTATGCAATACCTTTTTTTTATAAACTCCGCAGTTTTCCGCCTGTCTATCACATATATTTTCGGGAAACACATTCTCTTGAAATGCCTTTACTAGGAAATTGAGATTTAAGATATTCATTCGTATGCCCATATGACAAACACACCTCACTAAGCGTACAGCATATACGACTTTATATAGGCCCAAAGGCAAGGCTAACTACAGGCAGGCCATCTCATTCGCCAGAAAAGATGTTTAAAGTGCGAAAGCGGGTGTCACATCACCTGATATATCTATGTACGATCATCCTCTATAATAAATTGATACAAACCGTGATGGTGTTGGAAAAACTACATGCAAGGTGGTGCTGCAAGTTGTGACTCTAGCCATCGAGTCGTCCAACCAAGGTGTTAATTTCAGCCCTTTACATTCTAGGTAAGCCGTATGGCCCAATGAGTCACACAATGGGTTAAATTCACTAAAATTGAATCAAAAACGTGCTTTTTTATTATAATATACATAAATGTTGTAAAATATATTCTTATGACATTTGATATGAAATGCTTTCTAAATATGTTCCAACGTAGAGCAAAAAATGTTATTCAAATCATTCGTGTTGATGAATTGTATCGTTTTGTCTGTATTTTTATATGAAAGTCGGAAGATAAGGTTCGGGCCGTCACCACTAAACGAAGTGAGAGATGCATTCATTGTTTATGACCTCATGACCTAATTGAATATTATATCATAGTAATAATTTAAAAGAGTTAGTACAAGTAAGAATTTACATTCATGACTTCACAGAATTATTTCATCGATTATTTGCGTAGGTAATGCCTTGATGCGGGAGTAAGTCGCCGACCATCATACCGCTGATATAATATTGTTAGTGGATACTATCATATTGACCTGAGCATCGTATCCCAGCGAAGATCTATCATTTCGCAAGGATAATAGGATTCTGAAGGAATATATATATAAGATTTTGAGGTGTCAAAAGTAAGGATTTGGACTTTATCAAGAAATACCTGCAAGCGACTCTCTTCCCACTGATATGCACGATGAAAGCAGCATGTAATGATGTTTGACCTTTAAGGAGAGTTTTAGTTCAAACAAACAAAAGGTAAAGTAACTTTCACTGCTCACTACACTCTTGATTCGCCTACTAACGTCTTCCCAAAAGTGTAACAGCTAAAGTGTATGGAATTTTTCCCGTATCCGAGCATTTTGATCCCAAAGCAAGCAAAAAATGGTAAACTGAACTGACAGGACTCAGAAACAAAGCTATCTCTCGTTGACGTTAGGACGTTTTCGTTTGCACATAAAACACTTCTAAAGCTTATTAAGGCTAAACTATCATGTCACCGCGACATGGTAGAACAAGTTTGTCTTTAAGCACGAACAAGAGGCAATGAGCGTCCACCTCGACCTCGACGACCTCAACCTCTGTATTATACAATGCCAAATTAAGAGCTGTAGCCGGTCATTTGCTTCAATGAAGTTATCTTATAAAAGTGTAAGACGAGTGATGCGCACTAAGCTTTAACAGGCACACTTCACTCTCTGGTAGCAAGGGGTTTTGGAACTCGACACGAGAACGAAAAGTCTTCATCGGGTCATTGCTCCTTGCTTCAAAAGTGACCTTTGATTCTGCTTTGCATGCGTATGAGTCAAAATGCCACGATGAAGCAAACTATAACATTAACATTATCGCATAAAAGACAACAGCAGCATATTTAGTAGTTGAGCGAGCCGTTTCAAAAGCGTGCTGACAAAGTGAGCTAGAATTAATTGCCATAAAAATACTCGTTGCATTGGGTAGCACCTGACCAGTCACGCTTGCGCTTGTCACCGCATGCAGCGTAGAGCTCGCACATATGTGTTACGGTGCTATGGCATGCAAAAGGGTTGTTTCGCCTGCATTCGATCTCTTGAACCATGCCACCGAGCTCGTCCACCTGTGGAACGATGTCGCGTCGAGGCTTCACAGTCATCACGAAGTCGCGGATAGAATTATCGTCCACATCAAAGCGTCCACGTGATAATAACAATCCAGGGCCGGAGAATGATATGGCCGGAGTGTGCGTCTTAGCACCAACCATGGCTGCCATTGCACCACCAAGACTGTGACCAGTGAGCACAAGACGGTCACTCCCTACACGTTTGCGAACTAAGGTCACGTGGTCGAGTAGCTCCGAATACACTGGAGGAGGCATAATAGCTCGAATAAAATTCATAGAGAGCATCTTCACTACAAATTCACTTGGAAGTTGTTTTAAGAAAGGTACAAAAATATTGCAGGCTTGCATCACGCTCACACCGAACCAGTAGTGAAGATCTTCCAAAGCGTCAGTGGCGGTAGCGGTTCCTCGAACGGCTATGACGGTCATATTGATCGTAGGAAAATAAAGCTCAGCCCATACATGATGCCCCGCAGCTTCGTTGTTACGTGAAACGTACTTCCAATCACCGAGCTGCGTGCCGTTGAAACGTTGAGAGAATGACTTGACTTGAACTTCTGTATTCCAACCGTAGATCGAGTCAGCGATGAGAGCAAAATCAACAATATCTAGTGATTCCAAATCCAGTGCACATACAGGATACTGTGCAACTTTTGTCCAATGCATGGGCTTTTTTAACATTGTAACTAGTTGAGTTGCTGGGGCAACAAGAGACTTTGAAGTTGGTGGATACACAAAGAAATCGCCCCCTTGAACGAATGTTCCAACTGCCCATGTGGACGAGAAGAACACGAAGGATAAAACGACGAAGAAAGTTATGAATAATTTGAATGTAAGTCCAAAGATCTAAGCGGAGCGCGTATTAGTATTTGGACAAAATTTTGCGAGGAATATATGGGCACTTTACCTGCGGAAATTTAGCTTGAATTGTATCACCGAGCAGAATAAGGCAAAATCCCATGATACTCCAGCCTACATAAAATGCGTAGAACGAGACTATTGCGCTTAAAATGACGGCTGGGCATAAGATCCGAAGCCGGCGGTCGTAAGAAAATTTTGACCAAAGATTTAATTTATTAAGTCGGCCGCCAATTTTGTGAATGCGCTGTTTGCCTTCCAACGCTACTTGAGTCTCGTTTGCATCGATCACTGAATCGCCTGTTTCATCTGTGAATACTGCAGCATCCTTACTAGCTTTCGTATAATACACTGTGTCACCACAGTGTAATACTTGCGTCTCATTACCTGTTCCTGACGCTAACGCCAAATTAGAATGATCTTTTCGCATAAGACTTCTAAAATTGAAGAGTGCAGCCACAAACGAAAAGAAGATGGTCTGGATTTGTTCCACACCACGAAACCCAATCGTTACCAACCAAAGATGTTCTGCCCGCTTTTGATTTTCTATCTCAAGAAGTTCACGCTGCATATCACGATATCGGCGTCTGTAGTTACTGACAAACTCTCTCATTTTGCGATTACGTGCGCTACAAAAATGGCAGACCATCCAAACGATCAAGTATATCGCCTGTATATAGAAGCCACATTGAATATAGTCTGTAAACGCTTCCAACAACGACATATTAGCCATTGATGAGACCACAAAAGTCCATATCGTGATCACCTCAAAAACGAATGGGCAAATTAAATCTGTAATAACAAGCGTGGAAAAATCTAGTGGAGGGCCATCAAATTGAGTAGCATTGAACTTTACTGTCGTGCTTGCAACTTGAAAAAGTCGTTTCCACCGAGCTGAAGGTAAATTTTCCTCGCTACTGTTTGTGCTGCTACTACTTCTGTAACGCAGTAAACGGTCGTTATGATTGTAGCCCGATTCTTGACTTTGCTGACTCTGGAATTGTAGCTCTAGATCATGTCTCTTCTCGTCCTCAAATTCCTTGTTTTCATCATCAAAAGGATCATCTGTATGAATTGTACTCAGCAAATATTTCGGTCCAGTTGTAATCCAGCCAACAAAGCGCGCCCATGCTTCTTGGTCCTCATCAGTACACCTAAATTTATTGAATCTTTCGTTCTCCAAACGATCGTTGGGCATATTTTGCCGGTGGCGCAAGAAATGAATGCAGACAGAAAGCGATAAGCGAAAATTGGCCAGACATCCCTCCTTCGTGTTAATAGCATCAAGAAATAGACGACTGGACTCTTCAAAGCAGTAGGACAGAAAGATAAGGACGAAAGGCAGAACAGCCAAGAGTACGATGGCTCGTATTGTAAAGAACGGGTCCATTCGTGCGCTGGGAAGATAAATAGCGAAAAAAAATTCCATTAGAAACGTGACACTGAACATCAGGATGCACATGAGCACCAAAAACGAAAAGTATCCCAGCCTAAACTGGCACAGTGTACGATAAAGCTTCCACTCGTTTTCTGCACCTGAAAGCTTTTGCAGCTCTGCGCGTCGTCCTACCAGCGTAGCCATGCGGACATCGCGACTCGCATCGATACCCGCCATTTTTTATCTGACTTCTGTAAAATTTAATTCTGAGCTAGCAGTATCTTCAAGTATGTTGTCATCTTTCTTGTTTCTAGTAAATGAATGGAAGCTAAATCAATCTTACCAAGTTTGTCGGATAGTGTACGTCTTATTACAGTATTACTAGCAAAGCCCAGAAGTAGCAAAGTGAAGTACCATGATAAAAAATCATGATTAGCCTTCTGTGCAAATGAGATAGGAACGTAGTGTATAGTGTACATGACACATAATTCGTGTACCAGTCTGATGTGTAACACACTGGGGTCACACTTACTTTGTCTTTGCGCAAAGCAGACGTGTAACGGGGTTACATGTACCCTGGTAACAGGGGTGCAGCGGGGCTGCCGTAGCTTAGCGCTTGAGGAAGCGTAATTCAGGTCACCGACCGTTCGTTCTATACTTGGAGCAAGTACGAGTTAGCGGATCGCAATCCGCTTACTCCAAGAGTAATTATTGCCTTACCCAAGGCTAATTAGCTTTTCTGTTTAAAATTCAAAACTGATTGATATTTATTTTTTTATCCAAATTTTAAAAGGTTAGATTTTCCTAGATATACATAGTAAAATCTAAATACATGCATAACACTGGCTACCTAGCCCCGTACCGTATGCTTGTTTGGGTGTGGTCACACCATGAACATCTCGTGTAACACACACCTGCTAACAGGGTACGCGTAACCCCGTTACACCCTCCCTCATTAAAATTGAGAACATTTACAGCTCCGATCGATTATTGCCCCAACGAGGCTCGCGTATCCGCTAGACACTACAACTCAATTTGTTGGAATAAAACGACTTCTTTGCTCATTGAT